GCGACGATAGGTAGCGGTTTGTGTGTTGATGTTTGTTCTAGACCGAACATGGAGAAGAGATGCAGGGAACAAACTACGTGGAGCTCTGAATCGAGGGAAAACTTTCACGCTGCATTTCATCATAAGCGTGAGCAACGGGTGTTTTTGTCTGACAATCCTTCCATCATGACCAACAGCCGTCTTACATCCTACACAGAATCAGTGGCGCCCTCCGCAACAGGGACAAGGACCTCAATCTTATCAGTCGAGGTGGTCTGCTAGTCGCGATCGGGGAAGTGGAACTGAAACTGGAAGGTATGACAGTAGGGCGCAGGCAGTTACTCTACCACAACGGGACACTGGCAGAGTTCCACGATGGTTTCAACAAGATAGCAGAGAGTACGTACATCCATACTTGTATCATAGACAGTCACTGACTACGGAAACCACTAGCTGGCAAGAGGACATTATCTTCAATTGTATCAAAAGTCAAGGCGAAGATACAGGAATACGATCAGGGCCAAGCATCCAGGTACGCAGCCTTTTACTAAACGTTCCCCCACTTCCATTGAGATTCGTTTCACCAATCTGTTCATCGTTTACGCGAAACATCTAATGGTTTTTCGTTACAGACAAAATACACAGCCTACGTGGGGTCAGACATCTCAACCTCCATGGGGCGGTGTACAACCCACGCAGCATCAGGAATCCTACTACGACCCCAATCCACCGGGCGAAAGTGGAATCCGTGGAAGTGGCTGGTAATCTCCTCCCCGTCGCGCTGGAGGCAACTCAAATCCAAGGGCGGACTCCGTTCCTACTCTTGCTCCAAGCCCAACATACGTTCCTCCAAATTTTGCCACCAAACCTATAGCGAACTCTACATCCGTTGCAACCAATAGCCCAACATATACAGGTTCGTTGACGTATTCCCCGCCGAACACAGGCATGGGCATGTCCCCTCCGCCTGAACTTGCTCGGCAGTCGAGTGACACCTCAAGGCTGCCGTCCACGGGCATTGGCGCCCCGAGCGGAATTGACGCTAGTCAGTCGTCTTTCTCCCTTTCGTTGCTTTGTGTCTCTGATTTCATCACATGTTAGTTAAATTTGGACTTCTGCCCAAACGACCTGTATCACTCCTTCGGGAACAGGTCCCACCTACACACAGAGACGATAACGATGATGAGTTGGAATACACAGAAAATCCGTTTGAGGATAGGTAATTAGGTGGTTATTCTGGGGGTAACAAATTGGAATCATCTGTGACTGCGACCACTAATGGACTATACATTATGGCATATACCAGATATTTCTCCTGCATTTACCATCAAGTTACCTTTCTTTTTATTTGCGTTAATAAAGGTCCCAAAGGGACTAGCACTGGAAAGATGGCGACCCCGATGCGTTGCATCTTGCTTGTCTTGGGTGTTATTGTATGTGTTCATGTCAACTTGATAATTAAGCCGGCTTGACAATGAAACAGATTTCAATTCACTACATTCTGAGCTTTACATATGAGGAATATGGAAAGGCGACCCCCATCTCAATATCGCAGGAAAATGGACTGGTCTGAAGTTAAGCCCTCTTTACAAAACACCCGTGCCCGACGAGTACTACCAACCTGATTCGCTCATGCACTTACAAGACCGCAAAGCGAACACCTCGTTTGTCGTACTTGTACGGAACTCTGACCTTTGGGGAATCATGAGCAGTATGAAACAACTCGAGGATAGGTTCAACAGGAAGTTCCAGTATCCTTATGTCTTCCTCAACGACCAGCCTTTTACGCAGAACTTCAAGGAGTGCGCCCTTCCACGCTCGATTTTTTGAAGCTGCTGACGGGCCTTGATCAATAGCACGGTCGAATTTGGTCTCATCCCGTCTGATCATTGGCATCAACCATCGTGGATCGATGAATATCGAGCAAGCAAATCTCGTGATGACATGGTTAGGAACGATCTGATTTACGGAGGTAGCTTATTTTACTGTTTCAATTGTACGTGTAGTCTGATGATTTTCTAGGTAGTGTTTCATACGTATGCTACGCTATCATCGCTGCTTCAAACTAACTGCTCCTAGATACCGGAACATGTGTCGCTTTAACTCTGGCGTACGTGATCGTAATGCGTTTTGGCGAGGTTGTCCAATCAGATGCTAATTCTTATATCGACATGAGCTCTTGGAACAATAGCGGTACTATTGGAGAGTCGAGTGAGTAGACGAAACCGAAGGAGATGCGATGTAGCTTAGCTTACTTTATCTTCCCCAATCAGGCCAGACATCAAGCTGTTCTGCGACATGGACTATGATCCCTTTCTCGTGATGCAAGACCAAAACAAGGTGTATGATAAATCAAATGATGTTTTCGATTTTATACCAGTATCGAACACCAACAGGCTTTACCACATCAATATATGAAATCCAAGCTACTATCCCAACACTATGGAACATTGTAGTGTAAGCGTATTCAGCATTTACTATGATTTCAATTTCACCTTCCTCTAGCTTTCATCATTGCTAATCCTGACTTTGTGACTCCTGGCAATGCGATGGAATTCCTCTCTGGTGATGGTGGAGAGTCCTACAATATCCGTCCAGGCTATAGTGTTAAAATTAAGCATAATACTCACTGACTAGAAATGAGATGGTTTTGTAAGTTTGTTTGTAGCCTACAGATGAACCTCTACACAATTAAGCTTAACGGCTCCTGATTCCTTTGGTGATTCTCAGGCTTCCAAGAATAGCACTACCACTGGAAAAATCACCAAATTGAGACATTCCAATACACTGTAGATAGTGATTCCGATGAAATTCACTGGGCAAAATCATATCATTATCGTCTGTCTTTGCGAGTCACTGGGTCGCGGTTTCCATGGCTTGAAAAGAAACACGAATGACATTGTCGCTAGTTGTATTTACAAGGTGTGATGTCTACGATCGAGGTGATTGGTCTACTGAGCTTATGGGCGAAGGCGCGCAGCGCCTCCCAGTCCCAAGCTGCAATTCCTGCATGAAGAAGGTGAGCTGCGATTCCCAAGGATGTAGGAGCCCAACGACGCATCAAGCGAGCCGAGGATACCCATGAGGATAGGAGGAGGATGAACACTCACGTGAGCTGTCTATCATCGAACGCGGGGCATTGTGTAGTGCAGGAACTCGTCTTGAACTGCTGGTGTTGCTTGTAAGTAAGGCACTAGAATCTGAGCATGGTCTCTGAGGTAAACTTGAAAGGCGTCGCTGGCCCACCGTCCCATGGTTTTGACGACGTCAAAAGGTACGTTTCTGAGCAGGTACTCTAAAGTTGCACCTATCCTAATTGTGTGACCTTGCAGTGGATCGAGTCCAGCGCTCTTGGCAGCGCGTGCGAGTCTTGCGATGAATTTCATTTTGGTCAGAGGCCGATGAGAATTGCCGAACTTGTAGGAAAATAGAGGAATGTCGATGGGGGGGTCATTGACGCGAAAGTGGTTGATTAATGCTGCCTCTGGGTCAGTGGGGCCATTCTGCTTTGCCCAGAAAACATCTTCTCCAGCTTGGGATGTTTTCGTACGGGGCAAACGAAAAATGGTTGTTGCAAGGCCGTTGCGATCTGTTTCCTTGCAGATGTCGGATCACTTGACATGAATGGACGCGTCGAAAGCCGATAGGTTTCGAACTGTGAATTCTCCGGCTCTGGCTAAGGAATAGAATGCTGTTGTGATGCAACTGCCCACTGCAGCATCAAGAGGCTCGTTGGGGTTCAGATTTTCCAGGACGTGGACAATGAAGGCCACTGTGTAAGGTGGCCGCTTCTTGCGTTTCGACGACGCAGGTGTTAAGTTCTTGGCTGCCTTCAACATGGCATCTATGGTATTCTCGTCCAGTGACCATGACTTTCCATGCAGAATGTGCCATGCACGGACACCATGAATGTAGCTGGATATGGTCTTTCCAGAATACGAGCCTGCTAGTTCTGATATGAAAGCTGATATGAGTTCTGATGATGCGGGAGCACGGAGGGTGTCTTCAATAGATTTCGAATCACAGTATACATGAAAGGCGAGAATGCCACTGCCATATGCCTCCCTCGTGCTACTTGCCCAGGTGTGTACCATGACGTCTTGGATGCGCTGCACATCAGCACTGGGAATTGCTGATGCAGTGGTTCCATTTTTAGCCGGGATCCATAGTAGAAGTCTGTCTTTAGCAGCGCAGTGAGGGCATAACACAGATAACTGCAGTGTGAGGTTGCTAGGGTAAGCTGTGGTACCTGGAAATAATATTGTTTCGTTTGTGAGGAAGAAAGCTGAGCTCAGATGTTTGTGCACTCACGCTTTTGTCGCTTCGAAGATTTGTTCTCCTTGATGATGGAACTTGTCATTGAGGTCACTGCATGATTCTCGGGAATGGGAGAGGAAATTGATGAGTGGAGACATTTTGATGTCCTTGTGATGTGCATGGCTTCTAGGAGGCACCTCAGGACTGTCGAAGTTGACGACAAAAGCTTGGAGAGCTTGGGGGATGAGGATTGGGGGAAGTAATAGGCTTGCTGGAGGGTAGATGCCCCTGGATAGACCATCTGCTGGGTTGTGTGCACTGGGTATGTAACGGGTGAGGAAGGTGCACTTCGAAGATGCGGAGAGCTGATGGATCCGTTTGAAGATGTCATTGGTAGCCTTGTTGCGGCTGCGCCCTTTCCACCAACCTTCGACGACGCCCCTGTTGTCGCCGAAAACTTTGATGCAGCTGCCCTCTGGGCATTGGCTGAGGAGAGAGATAGCGAGGAATTCCATGCCGATGGCCTCTGCCCAGTCAATGTCTTGATTTTTGGCTTTCCAGCCAGGGAGGAGATGCCATGCCCTCCATCTGCCTTTGATCCAAATCGCGATCCCAGAACCTGAACTAGCATCTGAGTAAGCCTCAGGTTCAATGACTTCGACGGGTCCTGGGATGGGGCGAGAGACAATGGATTGCCTGAGACTGGCTTTCCACCATTGAAGATCTTCGCCTGTGTGTTTTGGGGGGGTACGAGGCATGAAAGGACAATCGTGAAAGATGGAAAGCATGGTTTCGAGTGATACGAGATAAGCGCGTCCTTCAGGAAGGACCAGAGATGGTGCAGGAGCTTCCCATATAGTTCTTGGACCTCTTGCAGGGTGTGCGAAGATCGGGCTTCCCATTCTTGGATTGCTGCCACATATTTGTCTTTCTTCTTCTGTGGGATTGAGACTGAGCGTGTCGTGATGTCCCAGAGAAAGCCGATGAAAGGAGCACACGACGAGAAGAGAATGTCTTTGGCCAGCTCCCAGGGTATTCCCAGGGTTTTTGACAGATGGTCAATGTCATTGAAACAGAACGTGAAGAGTGCATCTTCTGGTGAACGTGGGGACGCTGCTGATAGATCACGAATGGGAAAAGACATGTCCTCGTCAAATTCTTCGATGGTGCCATCTGGCATGGTTGAACCACGGTACCATTTACGTCCCCCGTCCACAAGCATTCCTCCATTCCTTGCGATGATGATTGAACGAGCTCTGCGGAGTTTGTTGTAGCTCTCGAGGTGTTCTCAGAGAATGCGGATGAACAAATGGTCGTCGACCCATTTTGATATGGGCCCAATACCTTGTGATCGGAAGATATCAGCCCCAGCATCAGTGATTTCGCCATAAGTGCCTGTGGAGGCTGAGAAACCAAAACAAAAGCTCGAGTCAATAGCAAACTCATCCTCCCCCGTTCTGACAACCAACCCTGGCCACTGAGATGGATGGAGAGGGACTGTGCGATAAGCCTCTGCCACGTTGTGAACAGCTGCTTGTGAGCCTGGTGGAAGAGACCAAATAAGAAGGCAGATGGTCGAAGCTGTGCCCCAAGTACAAGGGTAAAGGTTCGAATCAATGGAAGAATTAATCGACAATATTGTATCAGAAGGATGTAAAGGAAAAGAGAGATTTTGTATGAGCCTGTATTTTCCTGGTTTCCCCGGCTTGGGAACCATGGAAAGTGGGGCTGTTTGGAAAGGACCGATGAGTTTTTCTGTTTCTGATTTAGATAATGGACCAATGTAATGACCAGTGGAATATTCACGATCCAAAATAGCTGCAAAAGCATCGTGGTAAGTGTATAGTGAAGGATTATTAGAAGGGGTGTAAGGGACAGATATGTTGGGAACACTGCCCAGAAAACCAATGCGTAGTCCGTTGGGAATGTGTGCATATTTACGTATAAGATTCAAAGAATTAAGAAAGTGCAGCCAAGCTTCGGGTTGATAGGGGGTGAGCACCTTAGATGCTCTCGCTTTGAGGACATTCTTGAGCCCCGTGATCCTTCGCTCCACATCCGGAACATTCGTGTATGTGTGAACGAGCGGTACTGGAACATCCTTTTGGTCGCTGCCAGTTGTAGCACAGCTCGAGCCCTTCAGGGTTGACCAAGTGACCCTCTGCGTTGTGACGACAGTGAGTCTTGGTTCGTCTGTCCCACAGGAACTCGGAAGAACATTTGTGGATGGGATGACGGAATCGACCCAGGCAGAGGGCGCAAGCTGAGGGGCCAGGTTGACTTGCGCCTGCTTGAAAAGACTGCAGGCCCTTCGACATTTTCTTTGTGGCATGGTCCGTAGGTCGGTACGGGTGATAGCGGTTGTTCCCTGACGGAGAAGGTGGTTCAGCGTGCTTGCCCCGGTTCTCGCTAATGTCCCTTTCTCAATGACGAGGAGGGGGGTTAGAAGTAGCAATAGTATTTTGGAGCTGTGCAGGGGTAAGAGATGTAAGGAGTGGTGATACAATTTAAACAGGTGCGAGCATGATGGAAGATAACATGCGAGTTTGCCGATGCATTAGCCATTAAAAGTATGGTAGATTTAGTAAGCGGAGATATATGTATAGCGGAAGCGTGATGGAAGCGATGTTGATAGCAAGCAAGCAGCGCCATGAGCAATTTTCAGAAAGTGAGCGTTAGAGGACAGTGACAGCAGAAAGCGAGGAAAGACATGCATCAAATGATGATACAGATAGCAAGTGGGTTGATTTCATTAGTATGATGTG